CTGGAGATGGAGAATTAAGACAATGTTTGATTAGCGGGTAGAGCTTCCTAACAGAAGCAGAGCATGATTCATCCTACATAGATCCACCAGAAATCTTATAGACTGTTCTATTCAACTACTTGTGCTTCTTTGAATGAAACCTCTGTCTCAGTCTCAGCACTCCTAATTGGGTTTGTTCACATATGGAGGTTGAAAGTTTGAAATACACATGCTTAAAAAGACCTGAGCATAAGTGGTGACCTTGTGTTGTCTGTGAGGCTGAATCATTTTCAGTTTACAAGCACTAACAAGGCACTCTGTGGATGCAGTGTTGCTGATGTAGCAATGCAGCTCTCCATACAGACTTAATAATATATGTACAGAACAAAGTGAATCCATAATATGTCGCTTATTAAACTCAACCTCTTTACTAATTACACTTTATTATTCTCTCATTAACTTAAGTGTCCATTTGCAGTTTTATATTTAAAGCTGCTAATTCCTTAAACGTCTATATCGTTACAGCCATACCGTACCAGCGGTTACCAGCCTCAGAGTAAGCACTAACAGCACTGACTGAGGAGCCCTCATTTAGCAGGCAGCCTCATAGGACAACCTGCCCGCCTTCCAGCGCAGATATCTGCCTGTGTGTTAGACATCATGTTTCTCAGATGTGCTGACAGTGTAAAACTAGCATTTGAAGATGAATGACACTGGATCCGCAAGGATTCAGTCACATGTCTCGGTGCTGCTTGCCTTTCACTTTAAATCTCAAACCAAAGCCTTCATGTTCTCCTGGAGCCACCGTGGGACTCGTGTGCCTCTCTGCCACTCTGTATCTCTTCATGCAGCCCTCCTCAGCCTTTGATCTTTCAGAGACCACAACAAGAAGCTGCCCAGATTGTGACTGTGAGTTCTGCACCTTGGGGGGGCATTTTTCTGTAATTCAGACCTCACCCTCAGGCAGAAAAAATGCACAGATGTCCAGACAATGTGATAATCTGCCCATCATTTTCACATCTTCGGAGATGGAAGCAGAGGTGTAACATCCACAGAGAGAGATGCCTGAGAAAGGAGTTTGACGCACAGGAACGCTGGAATATGCAAGACGATGACTCTGACTGGGGTGGTTTAAGAAGAATAGCACAGCTGAAATTTTTATTTTGTGCAGGTTATTTGCGATCACTTTTCTCCAAATATTTCAAAACTATATTTCATCATTATCGGAGATCGATGGATTGTGAGGGAAGAGAAAAGTGAAGAAGATG